TAAACATAAACGCACACTTAGGAGCAGGTCAGAGCTTCCCAAGCTGTTCCATTCTGTGTCTGCACTGATGTTGCACAGAGGGCTGGGATCAGTGCAGGGCAGCTTCCACTATAGGGGAAAGTGCCGTGGTTAAACTGCACCAGGCTGCACCAAAACCCAACGCATGCGGAGTCAGATGATGATGGGTGAAGTTAACTGAATGCTTCATGTAAACAGAATACCCTAAGGTGGATCTAACTAATCTTGTGTAAAGGGGCGGGCTCTGGAAATAGAGCTGCAAGCCAAGATTTATGAGGATCTCTGAACAAAAGAAAGGGTTGTTCCCCCTAAAGCCTCAGCTCAGCTTCTTAATCCTAGAATTACACAACTTTCCCAACAAGCTGCACAATGTATAGTTCTTAGACACCACACAATGCAATCTTAACATATCTGTGCACTGAATCTGTCTGAAAAGCGTTTTTCATCCTGACTTCAAATTCATTTCGGAAATCTTTGAACCAGTAAAAATTCATTCTGATTTGTTTCACTGTGTAGCTGTGCAGCCTGGCCTGGCATCCATAAGGATCCATGATACAGAGGGGATTAAAAACTTATTTTCAATGAAACAATTAGCACATTTTTTTTGTTTGTTAAAAGTTTGGTAAATTGTCCTTCAGGAACAAGCCCTTATGGCCCTCTGCTTCTTTAAACCAAAAGACTTAATTTATACAGTAAGCTTCCCTCCTTAGGAAAGGGGAAAGTGCCCTCCAAAACTCAAGTAAAATATTTTCTAAGAGTCAAGTACAAAAGCTTTTTCTTCAAAGCGGAAAGATGTGATGTACTTGAAAGGGATGCTTCCAGAGGAAGAAGAGAGAGTTCAACAGCAGGGTAAGTGCAGCTCTGATGCATGTGGCAGTTCTCCTTCTGGTGGCTGAGCAGAAGGCAACCTCCCCCCAAGGGTGGGATGCAGAGGGGACCGAGTGCCCTTGTTTCAGAGAGGAGGATCTTCAACCAAAACCAGCACAGCCATCTTCATAGAAAAAGCTAGCAAAGAAGCCCAGGGAGGTGAGGGGCTGAGAATCCTAGAATGGCCTGGGTTGCAAAGGCCCACAGTGCTCATCCAGTTCCAACCCCCTGCTATGTGCAGGTCGCCAACCAGCAGCCCAGGCTGCCCAGAGCCACATCCAGCCTGGCCTTGAATGCCTGCAGGGATGGGGCATCCACAGCCTCCTTGGGCAACCTGTTCCAGTGCCTCACCACCCTCTGGCTGAAAAACTTCCTCCTCATATCCAACCTAAACCTCCCCTGTCTCACTTTAAAACCATTCCCCCTTGTCCTATCGAAGTGTTCAAAGGATGCTCTGTGCTCCCCAGGAACGGGCCCCGACTCCTCTCTCTTTCCAAGGACAGCCACAGATGAAACAAGAGCTTTGGCAGCACTGGATCACCGCTGTATTTCATCCACTGTTAAATATCCAAGCATTCCGACACCAGACCAAACAGGACAGATATTTCTGAAGGTTTGACTTAGATCTGTATATGTTAAAGGAAGGGGTCGTGGCCTTGCTTAGCGTTATCCTTGGTAGCTGTAAATAAAGTAGGTACAGTTCCAGCATCACCACTTGCAGAAATGCCCGGAGAATTCCCTCCTCTCCTCTGTACATCACTAAAAGCAGCGTGACAACCAAGTGCACCTTGATGGCAATGCTGCAACCGAGGGATTTTCCTGGAGCTCCAAAATTCAGTAATCTAGCCAGCATGTCAGATGTGAACCAAATAAACTAGCTCATGGGGGCACTCAGTTACCTGCCAGGCCATAAACAGCATCAGCTCCTCATCCTCCACAAAGCAGCTGTTTCCCTTCGGTCCATCTTTTACCCCTGGCTACTTTCTGAATGATTGCACATGTTTATTTCAACTCCTTAGCTGTGTTCCTTACCTGTGAATGTAGTTAGCAAATGTCTGGGGGTTTTGTTTCTTGTTTTTAACTACTTAGTGAAAAAAATAGTGTGTCCTCAAGCAGCATTTAATTCAGAGCAATAGCTAGATAGTTAAAGCTAGATAGTTTAAAAGCAGTAAATCAGAACGATGGCAAAATAAAACCAATAAAACCAACTAAAGGATTTCCTTCTAAATTCTAACCTAAATCTCCCTCTTTTTTAGTTTAAAGCCACCCTCCCCTGTTTATCACCACCTGCCCATGTAGGAAGCTGCTCTCCCCATGTTTATGCACTCCCTTTAGTGCAATGAGGTCTCCCACAGCCATACTCTCCACCTGCAGTTCCATCTTCTGCACAGCTGCCCCAGCGCTCAGATTTGGTCAGAGCCATCTGAGATCATGGGAAACGGATCAGATACGAGGCTCTCCTAATGGATAAACCACCTGGCATTGGCAGATCTGTGTGCAGCACCTGGCAGAATTCTGATGGCACAAACAGCAAAGCATTTGCAGGAAGTCCAAAAAATCAAGCAACCCTCCAGTCAATATGCACAGACCCAGGCCAGGCTTTGCCATCCTTTCCACAACCAGCCCCTGCAGCACCACCAATCAAGGTTCCAAGTGCTGCCAAACATCACAGCTAAGTGGAAAATGAAGAACAGGAAATTATCAGAGAGTGCTATTTTCCTTCCAAGTGTTGATGTTAACATCTCTCATCCAGGCAGCAAGATGGTAATGGAGATGAATGAGGAGGCAAAGATTTTCTGTGTTGGCTTTTTTTCATTTTCAAGCTATGCAAACGCAGTGCCATTTCAAACTTTACATTTGAGACTGAAGACTTAAATCAGCTCTTCAAAAGTGTTCTTGGATCCAAAACCAATGCGGAAAACAATGTTAATATGGTTTTCCCTTTTCAGTTTTACAAGCCAAGATGCTTCTGAAGTAATATATCCAGGCTGGATGTGGCTCTGGGCAGCCTGGTCTGGTGTTTGGTGACTCTGCACATAGCAGGGGGTTGAAACTGGATGATCATTGTGGTCTTTTTCAACCCAGGCCATTCTATGATTCTATGATAATATTTCAGTGATGCATTTTTTCAGAAATATATATATTCTAGTTGTTTACTTAAACAGATTTGGGGGCTTCGTCATCTTTTATTGCGGTGCTTCTGTGTCCTATGAGCTTCAACTTGCCTGACTTCTGTGGGGTACAGTCTTTTCTCTCCTATCTTGTTCACAGCTGGATCCAATCTGCACTGGTATCGAGCTTAGCACACCAGTCTGCCCGCACGTATTTGACCAATAACAGATGACAATACCCAGTGAAATATCTGCATAGGATGGGCAATCACCTGGGATTTAATCACAGCCGGAACCTGAAGTTTGTCATGTTCCAGAAATACATCTGTATTTGAGGTGTATTGAGAAGCAGCACGTGATGTTAAATAAATAAATAAAATAAAACCAAACCAGAATGAATCCCAGACAACACATTCAAGAACACAGGCAAATAGCTAAATAAAGCACGATGGGAGGAAAAAGCTGTCTGCCAGAAGGAACTCACCCTCAAAGTTGAAAAAGAAACTGCATGTCAAAGAAACTGCATGTCTGAGCTCTCCCTGCTCAGACCACACAGCATCACAACCTCCAGACAACACATCCTGCCAGCAGCAGTTTCACAGCCACACCTGACATGAAGAATTAAGGAGAATCTAGAAGTGGGTGCTGGGGCAAGAGAGACGTGCCTCAATGCCATCCAGAAAGGCTCGCTTAAACAAGCCAACCTCACAGCAAGCACTGAATGTTGTCTACTCATTGGACTTCAACAAATTAATGAGCAATTACTTACTAATTCAATTATTGTTTATAAAGGAGGTAGAATTTTGGCACTGGTAATAAGTTATGGCTAGTTAAGCAAATCATGAAGGTAAGTGCACTCACTGGGAACATCCTGAAATCCTCTGCGAGGCAAGAAAATCCCCCAGGAGGGAATTCCATCATCCCATAAGGGAAGCACAGAAATCCCCAGCTCTTGGCTCCCTGAAGTAGCAAAAATCTTGAGGTTCAACTGACAGAGAGAGTCTACTTTTGGGGAAACAAAAGCTCAGTGCTTATAAAGTCACAAGACAGGCTTCTTTTTGAAGGGCTCAGCTTAACTATTTATGTGCATGTAAACACACTTGTTTACATGACACTGCTTGCATTAGAGGAGTCTCCAAATGTGTATTGCGAAGATTTCCCATCCTTGAAGTACTTCAAAGAGATTTTTGACTGTTCTCCTTAACCTGAAGTGTGCACAAAACCACAGCTGTGTGAGGCACTCAGATATCTTTCCAATAGCTGAACCCAATCACATCATTTATAGTGTTAAATGCAAAGTTTGTCATTAAACCTAGAGTGATAAACTATCCGATTACAAACGAGCTTCATGCCTCACCCCATCCTGCAGTATGTACAAGTCAGATAGGGATTTTTTTTCAGTTTTATCCCCTTTTGTGCAAGCACATTGGATACACCCTTTGTGCTATGCAGTTTCCACTTGTCTCCTCTTTTCCTGCCAGCCCAGGAACTGCATGCAATCTCCATACTTTCACCACTTTCACCGCCCAGCATTTCAAGGGTAGCTTTTAAAACAGCTCCATGTGAAGGTGAAGAGATTGCCACTGAAATCAAAAACCCACAGATCTGAGCAGCAATTGAAGCAAAATAAGACAAAAGCACCTGCATTTCCTCCTTAATCAGTTCTGACAGAAAACAACAGTCAAAATGCACAAAATTAAGGGCTGTGTACTACGTATGTGTGCTGCTGACAAATCAGGCTGAGATGGACTTTTATTGTGAACTTTTTTGTTGTTGTTCATTATCATTTTTAAGATACATCCATAGAATAGCAGCCCCATCTGACCTCAGTCAGAGAAGCCACAAGAATTCTGAGCATAACCACCCCTAAAGCTGTAGAATGTGCCCAGAACTCCTGTGGTTTCGTGACGGGACTCCACAAAACCTGTGGGGTTGATATGAGCCCTGAAAATCAGTCCTTTCTTTCTAGGAGAGTGCAGACAGAACCTCCCCACCACTACTTACAGTACACGTCCACTCGTATGGACTTGATGGCCGGTGAGCCCAGGCCGTTCTCGGCCTTGCAGTAGTAGCGGCCTCCTTGGTGGCGCTGGATGTTGGCTATCCGCAGCGTTTCATTGAAGACACTCGAGTCTTGGAATCTGTCAGAGGCACTTCCCGCTGTTTTGGTCCACCTGATCTGAGCAAGCATCAAAAAAAGACCGTTACTTGAAGCTGCAGTTTGGAGATCTCACCGTCGGCTGGACAGCCAGGAGCATAGCAGAGGTGTGGGGAATAACTCAAAGCCCCCGTCGGTGACACAGAGCCAAAATGGCTGCAGGAGAACTGAACTCCCCGTTAACAGACATCTCGCCAGGAACATGTGCTGTGAATGCAAACCAATCTCTCTGAAATCACTTTCATCAAAGGCGAGGGCACACTGGGAAGTACTTTCAGAACAGCTACCACCAAATCCGATTGTAAGCATTTGCCTGAAACCACAAATGATGAACACCTATTCCTTCTTTGGTTTTTTAAATGTCTTTTACAGCAATTACAAATTCTTTTACTCTAGCAATTATCTTCCCAAGGTGCAGACCTTCCAAAGTGAACTTTTCAATTTCAAAGACATCAAAATGCCCATACCACCCAGCAGCTTGCCAGGGTTAGGAGACCAGGGTCCAGCAGGGAAACAAAGCTCCTATGGTGCTGACTCAATAAAACCCATATAGCCCACTGAATAAAGCAAACCTCAGCCATTCCAGAAAGTTGCAAGAGACACAATGTGCCATGAAGAAACCTCAGGCAATGGGCAGTGTTCATCACCACCATCCGACGTGGTGAATCCATTCTCCCAGCAGCAATGTGGGCTGACCAGCAGCCACTGCAAAAGGCTTTTGCATTTAATTACCCAATGGGAATGCAAACCCTCCTTGAAAATTAGGCATCAGTAACTTGTAAAGTTAACCAGCAAACAGACCCCAAGGAGAAAGTCCTTGGAATTGAGTTATTCCTCCTCCTCTGAGCTCTGAGGCTCAGACAACCATCACCCTACCGCTGCAGAAGGAACTTTCTTTTAGGAAGCTAGAACAGAAGAAAAGCCAGGGTCACCAGTCATAGGGAAAAACAACTGAATCACAGAATCAGTAGGGTTGGAAAAGATCCTAAAATCATCAAGCCCAACCATCAACCCATCCCCACCATACCCAGTAACCACGTCCCTAAATTCATGATGGTTGCAGCTTACGTAAAATCTCTTCCCCTTGAAACAAGTGCAGGTGCGGGCTTCAGAGGCTGAAATCACAGCAAGAAATATTTCCTAACATTTTTCACCTCTTTCTGGCTTGTTAAATTCATAAGGCTGAGTGGCTTTGCCCTCTTGCCAGGTGACCTGTATAACTCTTGCATGGTTTTGCTGCTTCGGAATAAAGCAAATATGCCAAACTCCACATCTACAACATTCAGACACTATTAGTGCTGCTATATTTACCAGCCTCAATCTGTCTGTACTTCTATTATAAACTCTTGGCTCTCGGGCTTTTAAATCATCCATATAAATGTGCTGCAGGATAATTTTGGAACGCACAGCGTTCACATGCTGCAGAATACAATTTCATCACATATATATTTCAAATGCTTAAGAATGATCTGAAAATAGTATTTAAGATACTCAATGAGTCTCTTGTACGTTTTATTTCCCCCTGTGTAATCATAACTATCAAAACAGTTCTGTTTGATTTTTAGATGGAAAAAAGGTGATGGCAAGATTTTGCTCTTCCTCTTATTCCTCTCACTCAAAGTGTTCCATGTGATGGAATACAGCCTGTCCTGGTAAAGAACATATAATCTAAATAATGTGTTGAAAGTATTAACAGCATCTAGATAATTCTATGCAATTTATATTACAAATTACAGTAGCATGTATATGGAAGATGCCACTTTTGCCTTTTATAATTGCAAATGCCTTCCAACCCTGAGTCTTAACCTGGATGTACCAATCTTCTCCTCATTATAAAGTGTTTCAACCAGAATGTGTTTGGCTGTAAACAGACACAGACAGCTTTAAATACACAGATATATATATATATATATGCTTCAGGGGCAAGAGGTGTGATTTCAACAAAGTAAATAATTTTGTAGTGCATGTGGAGACTCCTGAAGAATGAAAGGAGTAGTTGATCATCTCTTAAAAGATATTCCCCAGCAATGTCAGTGGTCTGATTTCACTCCAGATCATTATTTACCTTAGCTCTAACTCAACATACACAAGAAAACACTCTGATCAATACTGCACTGTAATTTATTGAATGAACTCAGAAGAATGGTGATTCTCAGACACGATGTGAATGCTTTAATCAAGAAACTGGGCACCAGAATGGCAGATGTCTGAGCCTCAACAGCTTTCTTCATCAAGGTCCTCCACGGCTTCACCCACTGCAGGCTGCAGGCTTTGGGGTTACCTCTTAATCCATCCTTGGGGTTGCAAGCTCTCCTCAATGCTTAACACAACGACCTTCATGGCACTGCTGTCACACAACTGATAACACGCTGCTTTCAGGGCAGGGAAAGGTGGCAAAATGGGGACCAGGGGTTCATGGGACACCATGGCAGGTATTGGCCTCAAAACCCAAACAAGCATCTGTGCTTCTCTACTGCAGGGGATTCTAAATAAATAAATATTATATAAATTAAAAAATATATTAAAAAATTATAATAAATAACCTATTTTGAAATATTTTTAAAGTAGATTAAGTGAGAACGTATGTAGTTCAGATACAGCATTTTTCCCCATTACTTGGCACAAAGCAATCCTTCAACCAGATGTATGCTATCAGCGTTGGCTGTGCATAACCTACTTTGCTGCTTAGAACCCCCTGTTTCTAGAGCAGAAGTAACACAGCACGCCCTGCGTGCTATCCACACAGTGTGGATACTGCAGGAAGGAAATAAATTCTGTTTCATCAAGAGGTCAGAGCCATTTCTAGTCATAACAACAAACTTTTTTAATTAAAGAACTACACCTGTACATCATAGCACGCACAAATTGAATGAATAGATGTTAATCCATCACACAGATATGTGCTCACTTCCTTCTGAGGACACAGTTTCCAAAGTACTCGCTGTTACCACTGCATATTGGGAAATCTCACCCACACACCATCACTGCTCTGTCATAATTCTGGTCTTTAGTTAACAACTCACTCTTTTCTTCTTGTAAAACATGTATAAGTCAAAGACAGCCTATGAACAATTCATTCAAAATAATTCAGTCTTTATGCATGGCTATGTTCTAACCCATCTAGCCATAGCATGGTTGTACCTACTTATGGTCAGCCTCTCCTCCCTCACAACTAGCAATAGGATGAGGAGTGGCCTCATGTTGCACCAAGGGAGATTCAGGCTGATGTTAGGAAAAACTTATTATCCAAAAGAGTGGTAATTCCCTGGAATGGGCTGTCCAGGGAGTGGTGGAGTCACCATCCCTGGAGGTGTTCAACAACCATTTAGATGTGGTACTGATGGACATGGTTTAATGGGGAAATATTGGTGGTAGGTGGACGGTTGGACTGGATGATCCTGGAGATGTCTTCCAACCTTGGTGATTCTGTGATCCTGTATCCTCATATGATTTGTGTATGCATGTTTGTTCCCCGAACCATCAACACCTTTGGCAGCACTGGATTGGCTGAAGTGGATGCCCTGGTATGCACTACCATATTTCACTTTGCAGCTTCAGTGCCCTCAGGCAGCATTCCTGCAACTGCAGACTTGACTTTTCTATAACTCAAAATGCAGGTTTGAAGAACTCCAACAATACTTTGCCTGATTTTTCTCAGATTCTACCAACTAATCTTGCCCAGATAAAGCAGCAGATAAGAAAACATTTTGATTTAAGTTTTAAATAACATCTGTCAAAGAGTATATTACTGTCTATATCTATAAAAATCATAAATATTTATCAGCAAACTTTAAAATATCTTTAAAATCATATAATCTGAAACATTTTTATTTCTACAAAAACTGAACTAAATCAACAATAAAAACAAACCATGCCATCCACGATTTTCTGAAAAATGCACTGATTTAGGGCTTGGGTTGCAATCTGCTTTGGGTCAGTGCTTTCATCAGCTGGAGGTAGAAGTTGAGAGGGGAGCATCAGCTCCAAGGAAACATCTTTCTCTAAATATTCCACCAGGTAGGGTGGACAGTACGAGGGTTGATAGTGATAGGACAAGGGGGAATGGTTTTAAACTGAGACAGGGGAGGTTTAGGTTGGATGTGAGGAGGAAGTTTTTCAGCCAGAGGGTGGTGAGGCACTGGAACAGGTTGCCCAAGGAGGCTGTGGATGCCCCATCCCTGCAGGCATTCAAGGCCAGGCTGGATGTGGCTCTGGGCAGCCTGGGCTGCTGGTTGGTGACCTGCACATAGCAGGGGGTTGGAACTGGATGACAATGTGGTCCTTTGCAACCCAGGCCATTCTATCATTCTATGATTTTCTGAAAGAGAGGTTCAGCACTGGCACAGGGTGCCCAGCGAGTGGTGGGGTCACCACTCAATATTTTCAATAGATTTAGCACAGGATATTTTCATTCTTCCTTGGAAACAGCTGATAGAAAACGAAGTTCTGACAGTCTGTTTTGTACACTGCAGCACTGATATCTAACACAGTAAATACAAGCCTTAAAATAAAAACACCTCATGCTGGGCTGGGATCGTATGGCATCTCACTGCCACCAACTGAGCTGCTGCCCTCTGACATGGCTAAGGAAACAAGGATGTGGAAGCTCTCCTGACCACTACTAAAATCCCCAAATCCCTGCCTGAGATTCAAATCTTCCTTTGCATCAAGTGTAACAGAGCTCTTTGCACAACTTCATTGGGATGTCCTACATTTCTTTATGCACAAAGACACGAACCTTTGGAAAAATCCATCTTGAAGAATGACCAAAGAAGAGGAAAAAAAATCCCTTGTATTTGTTTTTCTTCCAGATTAGTTTTATTCTCATGAAAGCAAAGACTGGCGCAGCAGCTACCAAAAGCAAAAGCACTCACCTTCATGATAAATACTGAGGACATTGTGCAAAATACTGAAATGTGATGGAGCTCACAGTGATCACTGAGCCCAACTCCTAAGAGCTGAACTATTTTGGATGGGGATGGAAAGCTGTCATCAGTGAGCAAACAAATGTAGAACCTGGG